ATAATTTTTTAATCGCAATCGTGTTTTGCAGGATTGAAACAATATTCTGACTATCTGAAATATAAATTTACAAATTATATTACTATAAACAAAAGAACAATAAATATGAATGATTACCTGCTGGAAAATTTTCAAAAATGATATCGGTTGGTATCATATTATTTACTGGATTAACAGCATCTTTAGGATCTAAATAATGGAAATTTTTAGTATCATTATTGTATTTATTTAATATTAAATTAATAAATTAATAGACACTATATATATATTAAGCGGGATTACTTAAAATCGACTTGTATTGTTTAATACCTTATTGTACCAAAAATTATTTGTTTATACCTTCATCAGAAGTTACATGGTCTTCAGAGGCAATATTATTCTTTTTATTTTGACTCACGTTTATTGCTGTTTCATCCATATTTTCGATATCCTTGTCCAAGTTTTGGTTATCATCATTAATCAAATCTAAATGTATAAAAAATTACACTATTAAGCATTACTTTATTTGCAAGTTAAAAAAATAATGTTAAAGATTTATAAAAATAATATATATATTTATTTATTGTTATACCATTTGTCAACTGTTCATTTTCTAAATGCAAATCCATGACAGTCATTAACGGAGATGGTGTCATTCGCGGATTTGAATCGTCATCATTTAAGTTGTTTGCTGTAACTGGTTGGAATGTTTTCTTTTTTCTTTTCCCTCGGCCTAATTGCGAACATGATGTATCTGATGTATCGGTTCGAATTTTTTTATGTACAACATCTATAGCTTCCTTATATGAATCTGTAATTACAAATTATTTTATTAATTGTCTATATATATACATACATTTGTATTACATGATTTATATAAGTCTTTTCCATAACCGTATTCATAAATATTGGGAAGTTATGATTTGATATATTAAATACGAAAAAGTCATTTTTTTAATATAAACATGTTTAATTAAGATATTATCTTATTATATACTATCAATATTTTTATGACAATACTTACTACTTTGAAATATTAGTTGCACTATGTATTTTTGCCAATTGTCTTTTGGGGGTTCTTTCCGTAATATATATTTCCTAACATTTTTTTCCGGCCATTTACACATTATTTGATCATTTGTAAATGTCATCCATGAGGTTGGTACAACTTCTACAGCGTTTGATTGGCCTTCTATATTGATAAATTCAATCACTGACCAAGTCTGCAAAGCATATAAACCATTTAATTTTCAATTAATAAACATTATTATAATGTTATAATATGATATACTCGTACCTACTAAAAAATACCTAAACTATTATTTGCAATTATATTATATTTTATATTATTCTTGCATATGAATCAATGGCATGATGATAAAACCATCGTCGTAAGGAAATTTCACACATTTCCCTTTAATGTCGTGAATATTGACTGTGTACAAATCATATGACAAATGTTGTGTTTGCTGAATATTAAATAATTCTGAGGAACAAGGTGAACTGAAAAATGGTTTTGATTCAATGAATTTTCTTCCCTTTAAAAAGATTTCTGAAGTCTTGATTTCTTTATAAATACTTTCGACACAAAATACACAATTGTTTTTTAACATAACGCAATTATCTTTATCACATGTGCTTAGTTCAAACTTTTCAATGATTACTGTTTTGTAGAATATAAAATCTTGTTTATGAAATTGATCAGTACATTGCTGACGTAAAATTGGATACGTTTTTTCATTATCATTGTTTTGCATATATTCTTGTTCTTTTAACCTATTACAAATTTGTTGTAAAGGATTTCTTGTAGCTTGAATTGTTTTTTTTATCTCAAATAAATAATTTTCATATTTAAAACAACTGAAAGTGTCAAGTGGACCATGTTGCAAGCAATCTATGGGCAAATGTATAAGGCCATGAACATTATGAGTAATATATTCTTTTCCGTAAAGTATTGCATATTTTTGAACAAAGTATTCGAGTAGTTTCAATGAATAATTATTATAAATTCTGTATAATGCAGGACTGCATAAAATTCGAATAGCGCAGGATAAGGCCATGAAATGTGTGTATATATTTTTGTTTGCAATCTTTTTTAAAACAATTGGTCCGGTGTATAATAAAAATTGCCTTAATTCAGTGGCTTTATAGTATTCAATGTCCTCTAAACTTCTTGGCAAGCGTGGAAAATCTTTCGGCACATAATTCTTCAAAAACAATAATTGATTATTAATATCATTTTTATCAGTCTCGGGTAAACGATGATTTTTTTTCCCTCTTATCCAAAACATAATTAATCTTTTAACTACGCCTAGAAATACAAGATGCATGCCATCGAGAGGAACTTGAGATACGAAACCAATATTTAGCTTTTCGAAAGGACTTGTATCTTTATGGAATTCCTCATCTAATTTATTTCTGATACTGAAATCAGTCCGCAATTGTGCATTTGTTTGTAAAAAAGTCATTCTTCCATTAACAAAGGTCCCTTCTTGAATGCATTTTGTGCAGGCATTATAGCCTGTATGACCTTTAATACATAAAATAAATGATTTTGCAGGAGCATCACAAAGAAGTTTACCAACCTTTACTTTTATTATTTTTTTATTTATGTTAAAACCATTTTGTTCTAAATGTTTGAACTCTGTTATAAACTCAGTTAAAAATTGGTCTACATAGGCTGGTTTCTTGTGTCCGTGATATATCCCAGCCGCAAAAGGTTTTTTAATATTTTTATCAACCAGATTTAGATCTATGGAGATAAGAATAGGCCAGAGTTGACTTTTTGAAGAATTAGATATCGGTAAACCATCAATGTTTATGTTAAGAGGTAATACTATTTCTACATTTTGCATCAAATGTTTTTGCATATTTAAACTATTATTAATTATCCTACGTAGTCCATTCTCTATGCCAATGTGACAATAGAAACCTGGAGGAACACTTTTAAGTTCATATGGACATGAACTTGGTGTTTTTAAAAGAGTTCGCGAGTCTTTTGCTAATTGTGGAAATATCACTCGTAGAATACCCAACAATTCATTCATGGCAGATTGACTAAGCAAATGTCTGTATTTTAAAAACCATTGTTTCACAGCGTTAACTATGAAATCATTTACAATAGGGAGATTATTACATAAATTTTCAAATGATAAAGAAGTATCTGAACAGTTAATTTCTTCAATCACATCAATATATTCCAATGGTTCAATCTCAATTTTTTCTGGAATCTCGGGAATCACATTATCATGGTTTTCACATTGTTCTTGTTTTTCATTATGTTTCTTTGCAGTATCTACATTTATATTTGTAGTATTTACATTTATGACAGTATCTACATTTATAATTGTTTTTATGTTATTAGGCAAATTATTCGTCTGAATTAATTGTCGATTCAACTGCAAGATGTGTATTAATTCTTTTTTTACCATCCGTCTCATATGACGTTTTGTAACAAAACATTTTTTTATTTTAGCCATTATTGTTTTAATTTTTATGTCAGTATTGCTATTATTGACTTGATAAAAAAATCACTGAAAAAATTAAAATCATTCACATGAGATGCTCATATAGTTAATACGTAGTTTTTAAGATTTTATGGTATTTAACGTTATTAAAATATATATATATACACAATATATACTTACATGGCAGGAATCTCGAACGTCACCAACAGGCAGATCCATTGCTTCCAGTTATAAATAAAGATGAATTTAAAATTTAATTATAAAACGACTTATAAAACCTCCAATAAAGCCCAACAAACACAATTGTCTTATTATTATATTTGGGTATTCTTATTCACATACGAAAGCTCCTGAGACGAAACGCCGCGCTCCCTAGTTACGCGTATCAACTCGTTGCTAACGAACGAGCGGTGATTATTATAGATTCCTAAAACATTCTTGGAACATGTATGAGATATTTGTGGTATAGTAATATGTTACAATAGATTTTTTTTAAGTCACCACGAGTGAAATATTTTTTTCGACTGTCGCAAAGATAAATTGAGTACATATATGTATAAAACACGATTATTTATAAATATTTCAATTAAATATTTGTACATTTTTTAAATAAAAATATGAAACTATACTTTTGTTTACTTAACTATGTTTTGCATGAAACGTTAAACAAAAACTATTTTCAAAATATTATAAATTTATAAAATATTAAAAATTCAGTGATTTATTAATGTATACGTATGTTCGAGATTCGAACGGTAATAACCCGCGGACAAGAAAGCGTTAAAATATTCATGCATCTCGATCATGCCTCATGCAGCATGCATATAATTTATTAATTAATATCGTGGTCTCACATGCTTATTTTAAATTATATTTAAAATAGCGCTCGGCCGCGAGAGTATACGGATACTCCGCGCCTTCGAAAATAAGCGCTTAAAACAGTCTAAATTGTAAACACCGCTGTTGCGCGAGAGGAGAGAAAAACAAGTAAATAATTACAGTAAACGTTCCTTCGCCCTTAATATCACAATAGAACGACAGCAAATGTACTCGAATATTCTAGAATTACAAGGCCTATATAAGCCTCCTCTCTCGCGACCGCGGCGCTCTTTCCGATTGCTCGTCGCGAATAGAGTGTGCTTCTACTTTCCGAAAAAGATCGCTTGTCTTTTTCGGTTTTCTCGTCTAATTACCGTTGCTTGCGGAACAGTCAGTAATTTATTTTTGACCCGGCTTTTCTCTCGTTTATTGCATTCATTTCTAATACATTCGACTCGGCTATCTTTCGGCAAATTCGGTGCGGTATATTAATTGTAATTTTTGTTAAAAGTTTATATAAATATATTCTTTTTTGTGAACGTTACGCGTGTGTCGAGTGTTGTGTCTATTTCTCAGTCTCGCTTCCGACCACGTCCTATCCATCTTTCCGTCGCGCACATTTTTGGTCCTTCGAGCCGGATTCCTCAGGAACCTCCTGTGAATCCGTTGCCACGGAAGCGATTGTGATTGATTGTCGGTGACCAGTGCTTCTGGAACAGAGAAACATTGTTAGAAATGACAGACACGAAGGTGATCATTGCCACCGCCACGGTGCTGTACGGCAAGATCTCGCGCGCGTTCGAGAACCTGCGGAAGCTCGGCGAGGCCAATATGACCCTCGGCGCGGTGGAGGCCCGGCTTCAAAATCTCGAGAAGCTATGGGATAAATTCGACGCTCTTAATGATACGTTAGCCGATCGGGTTGACGAAATAAAGCATGAGGTCTACGCTAAACAGGACATCCCGTCCTTAGGCGAGGAAGTTTACCTGCTGAACAAGGGCCACATGCTCGATCTGAAGAGCGCTCTCCAGCTGCAGCTACAGGCAGCCAGCTCTACCGCGGCCGCGACAACTAGTCCCGCTCCTCGGACAGCGCTGCCAAAAATCCAACCGCCTACCTTCGCCGGGAAATACGAGGATTGGCCTTCATTCCGGGATCTGTTCCAATCCCTCATCGGCCGGAATCAGGCAGCAAAACCTGTGGAGAAGTTACACTACTTAAAACTTTGTGTGAAGGGTGACGCCGATCTGCTGATTCGTAACCTCAGCACCACAGAAGACAACTATGAAATCGCCTGGAAAACTCTAAGCGATTATTACGAGAACAAAAGATTGCTGACTCGTAATTATCTGAATAATTTCTTAGCGTTGACCAAGATGAAAAGCGAATCCGCCGCTGAATTGAGGAAACTTTTCCATGGAGTAAAAACAACTGTCAGCTCCCTGAAGAGCATAGACCGACCGATAGACCGCACGGAGGATCTCTTCGTCCACCTCGTCGTAGAGCTCCTCGACAGCCGCTCTAGGCGAGAATGGGAGAGTGATATAAGTCACACCACGAGTCCGCCAAGCTACGCCTCGCTTGAGGCCTTCATAGAACGTCGGCTCCATACGTTGGAGGCGCTGTTTCCGGCCAGGAACGACAGCAGCAGCTCCAGCACTGCAAAATCAACGAAGAGCCACCACGTCAAAGGCCAAGATCCAAAAGAGAAGTCCAGAAGCCGGTGCTCCATCTGCCAGGGGGACCACTTTGTTATGTTCTGCGGCGACTATAAGGATAAGACGGCGATGGCGCGTAAGCAGCTCGTCCGTGAGCATAAGCTCTGCTCAAATTGCCTTGGCCGGCATCAATCTTCCGAGTGCTCTTCGAAGAAGACGTGTACAGCGTGCGGCAGTCGACATCACTCCTCGCTTCACGATGCATTCCGGGAAGCCGAGGCCGCCACGACGTCTCACGTGGCTCAAGGCGCAGACTCTTCCTCCGCAACGGTGCTGCTCGCTACAGCTAGGGTCCGCGTCCTCGACTGCCACGGAAGCTGGCAGTCCGCTCGCGCTCTGATCGACCAGGGCTCCGAATCTTCCATCATTTCGGAGCGATTAGCGCAGCGCTTACAACTCCCTAGAAGAGCAGCCGCCGTTAGTGTCTATGGAGTCGGAGAGAAAAGGACCGGAGTGACAAAGGGGAAGGTGAGACTTACCCTGCGGTCGCGCAGAGGGGAATCGCCCACCTTCGTCAACGCTTTGGTGCTGCCTAAGTTGACGCTGTTTTCCGGAGGATGCCGCAGCAGTAGACGAACCTGGACCCATCTGGAGGACCTGGAGCTCGCCGATCCGGAATTCTGCTCCTCGGACCCCGTCGACATCCTACTGGGAGCCGACGTATATGGGACCATCATCCGTCAGGGCCTACGAAAAGGAGGTCCTAAGGATCCAGTAGCTCAACAAACCTCGTTGGGCTGGATTCTCTCAGGTACCGTTAGCTCGACGGCGCCCAGCCAACACATCTCCGCTCATCACTGCCAAATCGAGGAGGACATCACCTGCTTGGTGCGGCGGTTCTGGGAGCAGGAGGAAGTCCACCGGCCATCTCCGACCCTCACCAAGGCGGAACTAGAGTGCGAGGAGCACTACCGCCGTCATCACTCGCGCTCTCCTGACGGCAGGTACATAGTGCGGCTGCCAACGATCGAGCCTCTTCCGGATCTGTCTGGGACTCGTCGCGCCGCCAGTCGTGCTCTGCAACAGACGGAGAAAAGGTTAGAGAAAGATGCCGACTTTAAGGACATGTACGTAGAGTTCATGCAAAAGTACAAGGAACTGCGACATATGATGCTTGCACCAGCGCCAGCTGAGCCACAACGAGGTACCTGTTACTTGCCGCATCACGGGGTCCTGCGTCCGGACAGCACTTCCACTAAGCTGAGGGTCGTGTTCAACGGCTCGAGCTCCTTGCCGAACGGGGACTCTCTCAACCAATATTTTCTGACTGGACCGAATCTGCTTCCTGCACTGGCTGACATCCTGCTGCGTTGGCGACGCCACAGATACGTCTTCGCTGCCGATATCGAAAAGATGTATCGGCAGATCCTAGTGCATCCGGACGATCGAAGCCTGCAGCGAATCCTGTGGAGAGACGACTCTAAGAACGACGTCCAGGAGTTCTGGCTATGCACGGTCACTTACGGGCTCTCATGCGCCCCGTATCTGGCCATCCGTACCTTACGCCAACTCGCCGAGGACGAAGAGCATCGCTTTCCGAAAGGCGCCGACATCCTGCGGAGCGATATCTACATGGATGACATCCTGTCCGGTGCCGAGAATCTAGAGGAAGCAGAATCTATGGTGAGGCAGCTGACAAATATATGCACGGCGGGCGGGTTCACACTAAAAAAGTGGTCTACAAACGCCTCCTACCTGCTGAGCCTCGTGGAACCGGACGCGCGCCTGCAACAAGAGGCCAGATGGTGGCTGCCCGGCGAGAGTCATTCCACTCTCGGCCTTCGATGGCAACCGTGCGACGACCGCTTCGCCTTCGCCACCCACCGGATCACTCTCTCAGCGGTCACCAAAAGGTCGGTCCTTTCTTTGACGGCCAAATTATTCGATCCACTCGGCTGGCTGTCTCCAACGACTGTGCTGGCAAAAATCAACATCCAGGCTACCTGGCTACTAGGTCTCGACTGGGACGCGTCTCTGCCAAGCGAGGAAGCCAGAAAATGGCTGCGATTCCAGGAGGAGTTAGCGGCATTGGAGAAACTAGTCGTGCCTCGTTGGTTAGGAGCCCTAGCTGACTCCCATCAAGAGGTTCACGGATTTGCCGATGCCTCCGAACGTGCCTACGCCGCAGTTATCTACCTGCGAACAAACACAAACGGAGTTAGGAGAGTGACTTTATTAGCTGCGAAGACCAAGGTAGCTCCTTTGAAACAGATCTCATTACCGAGGTTAGAGTTAGCTGCCGCCACTCTTCTAGCTCGATTGGTCGCCCACGTCGTGCCTCTTATTGGCGCAGAAAAGGCGCCTCTCCATCTGTGGTCGGATTCCACCGTGACTCTCGGCTGGATCCGGGGCCACCCTTCGTCCTGGGTCACTTACGTCGCTAATCGGGTGAGTGAGATCCAGACGCTGACTCCGGACGCCCACTGGCACCACGTCCCCGGCCGAGAGAATCCCGCGGACTGCGCGTCACGAGGACTCTACCCCAGCGAGCTTGTGGACCATTCACTATGGTGGCAAGGTCCGTCGTGGCTGTCCTCCGAGAGCCAACCGTGGACGATCAACAGGGAGGAGCCACCAGAGGATGACCTCCCAGAGAGGCGCGTCCGCGCCCACGTCGCCGCCATCGCCGAACAAAGGACTGAGCCGGAGATGCTTCTTCGATACTCGTCGCTACAACGCCTGCTCCGGATCACTGCGTGGTGCCGTCGCTGGCTGCGGATCCATCGTCAGGACCACCTCGAGCATGGCCAGCCCGGCTTGATCAGCGCCGACGAGATCGAGGACTCCCGGATCTCCTGGTTAAAAATCATCCAGGCTAAAACATACAAAGAAGAACTGAAACACCTGAAGAATGGAAAGCCGCTGCCGACTCAAAGCTCCCTACTGAAGCTAAGTCCTTTTCTGGACAGTGAGGGACTCCTACGCGTCGGCGGGCGCCTTAAACACGCTGCTCTGCAGTATGATGCCACGCATCCAACCATACTCCCAAGCAGATCTAATTTTACTTGCCTCATCATTGACGACTACCACAAGCGGACGCTGCACGGCGGCACCCAGTTGACCTTGTGCTCTCTTCGCCAGGAGTATTGGGTCCCTCGAGGTCGCGCTCTAGTGAAGAGCCGCATCAGCCGGTGTCTAAGGTGCACCAGATGGCGAGCTGCCATCCCTCAGCCACTGATGGGGGACCTCCCGGCACCACGAGTTACTCCAGGCCGGCCGTTTCTGCATACCGGCGTAGACTACGCTGGACCGATTTGGATGCAAACTGCAGGGGGCCGCGGACTCAAGGCGACAAAAGGTTTTATTGTTGTCTTTATTTGTTTAGCTTCCCGAGCAGTCTACCTCGACGCCGCCTCGGACTACACCGCTGACGCCTTCCTTGCCGCCTTGCGTCGGTTCGTCGCCAGGGGAGGAGTCTGCCACTCACTATATAGCGACTGCGGCACCAACTTCGTGGGTGCCGATAAGCAGCTTAGGCAACTATTCTCCGCCGCCAGTGCCGACGGACATCGCATTGCAACCTTCGCCGCCCAGGAAAGAATCCGGTGGCGGTTCAACCCGCCGGCTGCACCTAACTTCGGCGGTTTATGGGAAGCTGCCGTGAAAGCGATGAAGTACCACCTTCGGCGAGTCATCGGTGACGCCACCCTCACCTACGAGGAGATGACTACTCTCCTAGCCCAAATTGAGGCCTGCCTCAATTCCAGACCGCTGCAGCCGTTGTCTGACGATCCGGAGGATGTAGCCGCACTCACACCTGGTCACTTCCTGGTCGGCTCCGCTCTCTCGGCGATCCCCGAACCGTCGCTCGAACGAGAGCCGTCGGCACGTCTCTCACGGTGGCAGCTCCTGCAAAACATGAAGGACCATTTCTGGTCTCGGTGGGTCAGCGAATACTTACACACGCTGGCCCATCGGCCAAAATGGTCCCGAATTAATCAGGAGGCTCGCGTCGGTCGAATCTGCCTCGTGCGAAACAAAATAACACCACCAACATGGTGGCCGCTTGCGCGCATTACACAACTGCATCCAGGTTCCGACGGTAACGTTCGCGTAGTCGACGTCCGCACCTCGACCACAAATTTGACGCGTCCCGTAAACAAGTTAGTCTTTCTGACCGATGGCACCGAAGAGCACTCACTCGAATCGCAATCACGCGTCGTCCGCGATTAGTTTAAAAAATTTACACTTTTCTCTATTCCATATTTACATTTATTTATTTTTTTTCACTAAATTTTCATTATTCTCCTCACAATTGTACTTCACACTCACAGTCACTTGCACATCGCCAGCATACGGTCTACGCGACGCTTAACCTATACGCGTCTATACTGACTCCCAGTATCAACAGCTGATCGATTCAGCATTCCGTTCTCTAAATCAATCGGAGCACGTGCGCTCCACGTGTCCGTCACGCACGAGCGCGTGAATAGGCTCGTGCCCCACTCTCGCGCTGAGAACACGATTGCAGGTATATTATTGCAAGGCGGGCGGAATGTTCGAGATTCGAACGGTAATAACCCGCGGACAAGAAAGCGTTAAAATATTCATGCATCTCGATCATGCCTCATGCAGCATGCATATAATTTATTAATTAATATCGTGGTCTCACATGCTTATTTTAAATTATATTTAAAATAGCGCTCGGCCGCGAGAGTATACGGATACTCCGCGCCTTCGAAAATAAGCGCTTAAAACAGTCTAAATTGTAAACACCGCTGTCGCGCGAGAGGAGAGAAAAACAAGTAAATAATTACAGTAAACGTTCCTTCGCCCTTAATATCACAATAGAACGACAGCAAATGTACTCGAATATTCTAGAATTACAAGGCCTATATAAGCCTCCTCTCTCGCGACCGCGGCGCTCTTTCCGATTGCTCGTCGCGAATAGAGTGTGCTTCTACTTTCCGAAAAAGATCGCTTGTCTTTTTCGGTTTTCTCGTCTAATTACCGTTGCTTGCGGAACAGTCAGTAATTTATTTTCGACCCGGCTTTTCTCTCGTTTATTGCATTCATTTCTAATACATTCGACTCGGCTATCTTTCGGCAAATTCGGTGCGGTATATTAATTGTAATTTTTGTTAAAAGTTTATATAAATATATTCTTTTTTGTGAACGTTACGCGTGTGTCGAGTGTTGTGTCTATTTCTCAGTCTCGCTTCCGACCACGTCCTATCCATCTTTCCGTCGCGCACAACGTACTTTATTTATTAATGTATATATACGTACCTTATTTATATTAATGTATATATATACGTACCTGATATTTACTAAAAAGCTTTTGTGTTATTATTTCAAAAACGTTGATGTAACACAATTGTACAAAAACAATTGTACAAACACAAATATATAAAATCTGCAATGCAGTGTAATATTTTTGAATATGTTACAAAGTAAATGTTTCATATAAAACGTTCATAGAATATTATGAAATTAAATGTTTCAGGAATGTCACAAATGTAACATTGCTGTAATGTCTCTGAACGTTACAAACTAAACATCCCAAATAAAACGTTTATGGAATGTTTTAAAATATATGTTTTATGAACGTAGCAAATGTAACATTGCTGTCATGTCTCTAAGGTTACAAACTAAACATCCCAAATGAAACGTTTATGGAATGTTTTAAAATACATGTTTTATGAACGTCGCAAATGTAACAATGCTGTAATGTCTCTGAACGTTACAAACTGAACATCCCAAATGAAATGTTTCTAGGATGTTGCCAAACATTTCTTTCCTAACATTTCAAATTATCGATATAACAGCCAAAATGTTACATTTCTGGAACAGTGCATGAATGTTGCAATTGAAATGTTATTTTGAAACGTTTACGAAACATTTCATAAACATATTTATGTAACGTTTCAAATTTGCAATATTATTGCCGAAATGTAACATCCCCTGTATGTTTCATGTTTAGCGGGTATATATATATATAATTTTTCTTTATAAAATCAATAAAATCAATGTTTACAAGCAACTATTATAATAAATATATATATTTAAAATACATCTAATATATATAATTTTGATTTAAACACCCTTTATACTGCGCATGATGCAACACGCCTTAACCGAACAAATATTTTGGAAAATCGTTCGTTTATATACAAACAGCAAGTGAGTAATACAATATAGAATATAATATAAAAAAAATAAAATTACATAACTTAAATAATGTATAATAATAGAAGTTTTATAAAATGTCCCTTAATTTTCTTGCTTCTTCTGACATTATTTCATAATGGTGTTTTTTAGTTTTACAATTCCGCTATTTTTCTCGTTTTTCTACTATATTTATTTTTAATTTCATTATTTTTACTATGAAAACCGCTTTTGTAGAAAGAAGTTGTTGATTTATCGTTGTCTCTCTTTCATATGCAGATTCATTGTTGTTTTGTTTATTTTTGTTTCATAATTTGTTATTTTTTGAAAATAATTTTTAAAATTATTTTTATTCTTTTTATTATTTCCCTTATTTATATATATGTATATTGTCCATAATTCTTATAATTTCTTTTCTTTTAATTGCATCTTTTGCTATTTTTTATTTGTTTTCTAATCTTTTTTAACAGGTTATTAAATATCTAACATCTCTTTTCCATTACCTTCTCCATTTTTCATTATTCTTCTCTCGTAGATCTACCTACTTATTTTTCTAATTTTTTGTTTTGTCTTTATTTTCTTTTAATTTGTTTTGTTATTGTTCAAAATCATTTTATAACTCTCTCAATACTTTGTTCAAATATAATCTGTTTTAGTGCTTTAATGAAAAATTAAATAATATATTATTTAATTGCATTTAAAATTATGTTATATTCTTTATTATCATAATATAAATATAAGATATATAATAGATATATAAATTTGTTGTGTGCCTCGGGAGAGACACTTAAGGGTCGCGCCAAATTGGGATGGGAATCCGGGGCGTCAGGACTTGTCGGGTGTTTGTAGAAAATGCACTACACTTTTTGTATTAAAATTCTTTATTCAACTTCAACCACTTGGTCTTTATTTTATTCCACTATTAATACACTGAAGCTTTATCGTGTGTGCGGCACTGACTTTCTATTACTCCGCGTATCGCGCACAACTGCGAGTCGATGCTAGGTGCGCGCGCGGTTTAGCGAGATCGTGGTTAGAGCGATTATTTGTGTCTGCGACTGAGCGAGCTGTCGCGTCTCTACTCTCTTTTTATATCGTTGTTTTTTGGAGTTTTCCCGATCGGAAGGGGTGCCTGGCAACAGGTTTCCCCGGTCGAGAATCTAGGTGCAAGCGAAGCAGATTCAAAGTCCTTCTGCTTTGCTTGCACGTTGATCAATTTCTGTTCCGCGTATATCTCGCATTGTATGCGTTTTTAACGCGGTCATTATCTGTCGTAATTCTGATTTCGCGTATACCTCGCATCGTATGCGTTTTTTAACGCGGTCATTATCTGTCGTAATTCTGATTCCGCGTATACCTCGCATCGTATGCGTTTTTTAACGCGGTCAGTGTCTGTCGTAATTGCGGATGCAATACGAGTACCCATTTCTTAATATTAGTTAACTTTTAATAGTTATATCTATTGTATATCTTTGGGGGATATAACAAATTTATAAAGAAAAATGCAATTTTATATTTTGTTTCTTAGTATTTATTAAAATGTTTTATAACATAAATATTACACAAACAATTTTCACGTATTTGTAATGTTTTTCTACATATTTTAAATTTTTTGTGAATTTAGCCAATTACATCGCCCAAGTTTTATTAATTTTATGAGGGAAATTGCAGAATCACAAACAGATGATGATCTACGTTACTTGCATAATTGGGATTTGGAAAAGCATTGTCCTCTCATAAAAATAATACGAGATTATAGTCATCCGGTGTACGAAACATTTTTCCGATGGTCCATAGAAAATATTAATGAATTAGAGATTGATTGCTTACCTATTACTTATATTACAGAAACATATCCCGATTTTTACGATTTTTTTATATTCCATGGTATGCGCAAATTCAAGCAGAAAATCAAAACTATTATTTTTTCAAGAGGATAGTTGGATGATATTCAATATGCAACAAATTGATAAATATCGATCATTGACTCATTATGACTTATTACTCGTCTTCATTTTACACACACATACACACAATTGATATTATTTTATATTTTTGTCTATTTTATTCATTATCGTATAAAAATCTGAAATATTCATTATATATAATTATAATAGTTTTAAAATGTTTTGTGTAATGTTCTGCATTATTTAATATATAATTAAGGTATACATCAGTGTTTTTTATATTATATCAATCAATATTAAAATTATATATTTATAAATATGTATTTTATGCTAATAATAATAAAAATTATAAAAAAGTTAATTATATTTATAAAATTAATATAATAATAAGTGCAAAGTAACATACAATTTTCGTAACATTACATGTTACAGAAATTACACTGATTAATAAAAATAATTGTGAAGAAGTTAATCGGAATACAATTAGAAAATATGGTTGCAAAGTCAATGTAATAGCTATCAGATGTTTTAGTGAAATCAGCAGTGCGCTGTCGAAGGAGATCATAAAATAAATAAGATTATTTTTGCCAAGTTATAGATTTTCTGCCTTAATACTAAATATCATATTTTAAATTATTACTGTGATGAAACCTAGACTAGTGATACCAAAAATTATTGTTACAATTAATTATGTTTAAAAATATTGGAAATTATGTATGAAAAATGTGTCATATTTCATGGTTTTTGAGAGAATGTGGATCATGTGCTGATTTTTTATTCTGAGCATTATAAAGAAGAATGTATACGTGCGTGCGTGCGTGCGTGCGTGCGTGCGTGCGTGCGCGTGCGCGCGTGTGTGTGTGTGTGTGTGTGGTAATACACTTTTTTTTTGGATAGCTAGATAGCGTTTATGTGTTCAAACATGTAACTATTTCACAATCTTTTTATACATTACATTCAAATAACGTTTATTTATTATAAATAAATCACATCCGTGTCTCACCTCATGTAATATATGTATATATATGTATGTTATATAATATATGTATGTTAAGTTTTTAAATTAATTTTTTTTGTCGCAAGTCTTTAATGTTTATATTTTTGTTATTGCAAGTTTTTAATGTCATTATATATTTTAAATACATTATTTTTCAGATA